TGTACACGTGCGCATGTGCATGTGTGTACATGCACACACACCTACTCCCTGCTCTGGACCAGTACCTCCCTGGCCAACCTGCCCCGCCTCAGAGGGCACCTCCAGGGTCAGGCCCTGGGCTCTCCCTGAGCCTGTCTACTGGGGACACCTCTCCTAGAAACAAGAAGAGCAACTCCTTCCTTCACGTCCTGTGGCCTTACACACTGACATTCCAGGCAAGTGGGAGGTGACGGATAGACTGCAGTGACTGGCTAGGATCCAAGCTTCCAGGAAATGCAGCGAAGGGGGGAATGAGGCTACCCTAAGGTTTTAGGCAAAGAGCCTCTATCTTGCTGTGTGTGCTTGCAGCTTTGTGATCTGTGAGCTCTTAACTGGGTTGCTGACCTTTTAAAAGCTGTGCTTTTCCCCTGCTGGGGTAAGGATGGGCCCCCAAGTCCATTCTGTGTTGGCGCCCCACAGGCCGGCGCCTCGCAGTAGCTCTGGGTTTCCTGGTCCGGGTGGGACCGTGCTGGCACACCCAGCCAGTCGCATGTGCTTATGGGACTGATCTGCCCACCCACCCATTTTGAAGACGGCTGCTGGAATCCATTAATCTCCAATGTCCCGTGTCCCTTTCCAAATAGGTCAGAAACGCTTGGTTGCCACAAGCAGCACGTAGGCAAGGTGAGAAATGGGAGCTGCAAAAGCTAAAGAGGACACAGGTGGGCTCCGAAGGATTCAGGGGCCTCAATACACTGGAAGGGGAACATTCTTCCTTAGTGTTTACAACAAGCCATGCACAGTGCTAAGTATTTTCACATAAATTATCACATTACCTGAGAAATAGTATCATCTTCTTCTGACAGATGAGAGAGGTAAAGTCAAGAGAACTTAAGAACTAGCTTGGTACACAAATCGGAGGAGTTCAGATTCTGATCCCACAATGTACTAGCGAGTCCCCCCATGCAAGCTATCGAACCCTCAGAGTCTCTTTCCTCATCTATAAACTAGGGATAATGACGCCTGCCCTACTGGTTTAGACAGAAATGGATGCTGTGGGGACAGACCCCAGTACAGTTTCTCCACTCTGTCCAGAGACTTGTGCAAGACTTCAGGATGGAGCAGGTCAGCCTAGCTGAAAGAACAGGGTGGGGTGGGGCGGGGCAGGGGGGCCTGGTGGCTCAGCAGGTTGCATCTGACTCTTGATACCCGCTCAGGCTGTCCTGTGATCCGCAGCCTGAATGGTTCTCTCCCCCTCTCTCTGCCCCTCCTGCTCTTGCGTGCATGCTCACTCTCTCTCTCAAAATAAACAAATAAATATTTTAAAAACAAAATAAAATAAAATAGGGTCGGGAAGCCAAAACAGTGCAGGACCTCAGACCCACCCTCATGAGAGAGAACTGGGAACTTCCCGCCAGATACAAGCCCTCAGCGGGGACTTCACTTACTAATCACCCCTGCACTGGTCCCATTCATCACTTTGAAAACAACCAATTCAATCCCTCATTTGCATATTAACCCAACCAATCCCAGTGAACCTAGTTTCAATCCCTGTTTTGCATAAAAGACCTTAAGGAGAACTGTCCTTGTGATGGTTGGCCTTTTTCATTCCACTTCTTCTTTGTCTTCCTCCGGACACAAAGTCAGGATTTTACCTGGGACTGTGTATCCAAAGTTGCAGAACTCACTGCCTAAATAAAATGCCTGTTTGCTTACAGTTTCAATGAATTCCTTCGTGGTTGACACTTGCCTCAGGTCATAAAGCAAATTCAAACCCAGGTTTCCTGACCCCCAAGTTCAATACTCAAGGGGAAGGAGGCTGATTCACTTCAATATTCTTCATTGTGGCCATGAGGTGGGCTCTGTCCTAGGATCTGGAATCAGTTAGGTGTCGGAGCCAAACAACTCCTTGTCCTATAAAGCGTTAAGTGTGGAAGCGGAAAAGGCACAGCAGGTACTTATGCTTGAGGATAAATGACCAGGAATACAAGTTTGTAAGAGTGGTAATACTTTCTCCACAGTACCAGCAAAGGTAAGCAAAAATGAAGTGACTGCAAATCATTTGCGGAGGCGATGACCAGGTGGGGGCTCGACTTCTGGAAGCCTTCTAAAGGCGTTTTCACTTCTTCTAAGTGGCATTCTCTTCTAAGGGCATACAAACACACCTCCAACTGCAATTCCTAACCCCCAAACCCACACCACACTTTTAACTTCCTCCTACCATTTTCCTGGAAGGTGCCCATCCCCTAAAACACAGAGAACATCACCTCTTGCTTCCCTGGTGAACCTCTCCCAAAGGAAACACTAGAACAGTTTTCTGGTCATGTCTGGCAGCCAGTGGAAGAGTCAGCCTGGCATTCAGCATATACAGTCATTTCAACTCTCATGCCAAAAAAGCTTGCATCCCGTAAAGTCACACTCCAAAAATAACAAGGCTTCTGGGGACAGGGGGTTAGGGCAGACCACGCAGAAGCCTTGGGATTTTGTAGCCAGAACACAAATAAAACAGAACCAAACCCAGTGATGCTGCCACAGTTAAACTCCCACTGGCGTGTGTACTGGTCCCTTGCACCTTTACTGCTGGGGCTCATGCTTCTTCCTCATGTGCAGAGACTGGAGCCATCAAAATAAAAAACGTGGTCCAGGAAAGGACCTCCTTCATCAATTTTGTAAAACAAAGGGGAGGGTGGCACCTTCCTGGGCATCTTTCTTTCCACACGTTTCCCCAGAGAGCCTAACACGGTGGAAACGCTAATGGTGCTTTTTGAAGCTACTAAACCAGCCACTATTTGTAATAAAGAAAGGCACTTCTATAAAATTTGTGGCTTTTTTTCTTAAGGTAATTCAATCCTGTCCCTGATCACTTCAAAATATTAATGTTCTGGGGAAAATGTTATAGGAACTAACCTAAATTTGGGTTATCCTGACACCATTTCTCTATTTACCAATTGTATATGTGTTATTTCCCATTAAAGAAACAACTTTATAACAGAATGCAGCATCTTAAGAACAGTCATTAAGATTCTGGTACCAATTCCAATGTGTGAATTTTTCCCCAGCACAAAGCAATTCCTCAGACACACCAGCTGCGTGTCCTACAGTTCACGCAGAGAACCATCTGACACCATCTACCTGGAGAGAGCATGAGATCTCACAGGTTAAGGGCTCAGTCCTATGAGACTCCCCACCCCCACCAATCCATCAGATGCCAATCTGTCCAGATACTTGTGCTTCTGGACAACCTGTTCAATCAGATGTTCCAAGGACCTCCCATTTTGGGCTCACTTAATTTGCCAGAATGGCTTACAGAACTCAGAGAAACACGTTATTTCCTAGAATACTGGTCTATTATGAAAGGACGTAACTCAGGAACGGCCAGATGGAAGAGATGCGCTGGGCCAGCTGTGGGGAAAGCGTGCAGAAATTCCAGTCTTGGAGTGAGCCACCCTCCCGGAAGTCCCAAGTGCTCACCAACCGCGGAAGCTCTCCGAACACCATCCACTATCCTTCCGGATTTTTATGAAGGCTTCATTTCACCGGCAAGACTGATTAATTACATCCTTGGCCGGCATGGGTGACTGAACTCCAACTCCAGCCTTCTCCCTCCTAGGTCAGGGGGTGGGACTGAAAGTTCCAACCCTCTAGCCACATGGTTGGCTTCCCAGGCAACCAGCTCCCATCCTCAGGTTACCAAGGGGCTTTCTAAAATACACCTCGTTAACATAACAAAAGATACCTTGATCACTCTCAAAACCATTAACTCCATAGGAGTTCTGTGCAAGGAATAGGTACAGACCAAAAATATATTTTTTTTAATAGGTCATCATATCACAGTCTTGAAAGTAGTCTCCACCTCACCCTGGGGATCCCTTCCCTTCCAGGCTGGAGTTCCCTGAGGTGGCAAATATGTTCACCTGTACAACTCACTCCAAATCCCAGAAAGAGAAATGCACCCCTGGCCCCATGTCTGCACTTACCCTCACTTGGTGGCCAGGTTTCAATCTCAGGGTGGCGCCACTGCCCATGAAATCAGCAAGCCTCAGCGAGGGGACACCTCCCGACTGCAACGCAGGGAAAGAGCATGTGCAGGGGGTACACGGGAAGGAGGGCATTATCAGGACAAGGCACCTCAATTTTAACCTCGGAAAGCAATCTCCCTGAGCCTGGGGAAGAAGACGAGGCTACATCCGAAGCAGAAACAGAAATCCCAGTTCGTCAGCTTACGTTGCACAGGCCCGTCCATTCAACCCAGAAGGCCGTGGGAGGGGAAACGCAGGAGCTGGGAGTCAGGACTACACCGCTGCACTGAAACCAGCACCCTGCGCAGACAGACGTGGGCCTGAGACCCTCCCTCCCCTCCACTCACTGAGCAAACGTTCCCTGGGTGCCCACTGTGTGCCAGGGACCAGTGGTGACTCAAGCAACACAGGGAGGGATCAAGAGCCCCAACGCGGAGACAAGAGACCAGCCTTCTCCTCCCGCACCCTCAGTGACTTAAGACACTGGGCAAATCCCATGCGGCCACAATCCCCCGTTGATAAAAGGGAGGTGACAGTCCGACCTCGTTATTTCACACAGCTGTCTCAGAAAAGATATGATTAAATTGTTTAAACACAAAATGCTTTAAAAAAAAAAAAAAAAAAAAAAAAAGGAAAGGAAAGGAAAAAAAATCCAAAAGAAAAAAGCAAAGGAAGAAATAATTTCCTAGGCTAGACCGATACACTTTCATATCAGGTACAAAGGAAGGAAAACACAAAACAGATAGAGGCCAAAAGACTACACAGAACTAGTTTTTTCTTTTTTTGCCTGAGCCTAGAAGCGTTCACAGAACTCAAGGCTTTTAGAAGTTCAGTTCACTTCCCTGGGTTCTCCTTCTGGGCCCAGGGAGCCAGCTGATTCACTATGAAGTCATGCCACACTCAGTTATCAGCCTGGATACAGGCGCAAGGAGCCCTGAGAGACAGCCCTCTCTTCACAGGGAAAAGCCAGTTGTTCTCAAAGGACGAATCAGACAAGACCCACACGAAGATAAACGCATTTATTTCTCCGAGTTTGCTGCACGATGTTCCCAGCAAAGACGGGGCCAGCACACAGTGTCCTCAGGGCCCTGATGGCAGGCCTGTGCGGGGACTGTCCACAGCAGCACCACGCTGTCTGTCAGAGGTCCAAGAGAAATCGCCTAACCTGGGCCAGGTACTTCGGTTGCAAGTAGTCACCCAGCTCTTCCTTACAGACCCAGACATGCTGGCCCTTCTTCCGGGCCTGGGAGAAGTCTCCTCCGGTTAAGAGCAGCGCTTTGAAGAAGAATACTTTGGCCCCGAGGCTACTCTCTGTCCGCATTGCCTGAGGGAACTTGAACTTGTAGTGGCCACAGGGCGCATTTCCCAGGAACTTGGCTTCCACTTTGTTTTCTGAAGGGGAGGATGGGGAGGAAACAGAATTGGAAGATAAGGATACACCCACCTGTTTACTCTGGCCCCCCAAATCACGGGGGGGGGGGGGGGGGGTCCTCTGTAAGAGCAATCCCTGGGAGTGAGGACGAGGATCATTTCTGCAGAGCCTCCTCCCCTCTGCATCCAAACGTTCCTGGCCCACGGGGGCCTCCAGATTCGCTGGGTCCATCGCATGTGCCAAGATACTGCCTTCCAACTGAAGTCAGCAATGCAGCTCAAATGCCACTAACCTGGAGTCACAGCACTGTGCTCCTAGACTCAGCCTGGCCACTGTCGGCTGATGACGGACCAAGATACTTGGTATCTGTAAAGCAAAGCTCATTAGCCTTTTAAAGGGAGTATTCCTTGAAAAGCAGAAAAAGGACCCCATTGACGTCTATAGGGTGAAAATATCATAACCAAAGTTAAAAGACAAAGACAGATGGAGAGATACTATCCGCAATCTATAACAACGCATTAACCTTGACCGAGCCCTTCAGGGGAGAGGGAAAGGATAGATTAATTACTAAATGGCATTTGGAGAACTGGCTAAAGAGGAAAAATAAAGCTGGATTCCACCAATCTCAGTCCTCAAATAAAACTGACACCATAGAGATCAAAGATGTAACAACAGACATTTAACTTTCATAAAAGGATTGTTCATTCTGGATGGTGGTTTCATGGATATTTAATATTTCCTGAACTTTTCTGTATCTTCAAATTTTTTTTAAATGTTTTATTTATTTCTGAGAGTGAGAGAGAGACAGCATGAGCAGGGGAGTGTCAGAGAGAGAGGGAGACATAGAATCTGAAGCAGGCTCCAGGCTCTGAGCTGGCTGTCAGCAAGGAGCCTGACTTAGGGCTCAAACCCACAAACCATGAGATCATGACCTGAGCTGAAGTTGGATGCTTAATTGACTGAGCCACCCAGGCACCCCTCAAATTTTTCACTAATGAAAAAAAATAAGCCGAAACAGTACTAGAAAAAAATGTGGGACACTTTCTGTATCATTTTTGAGGGGGGAACCCTAACCAAGACACAAAGTTCAAAAAATCCATAAAAGAGAAAACTATTTATTTGCATAAAATTTCTACCAGGAAAAACAAAGCATAAAAGTCAAAGACCAAACCGACCCGCTAAGAAAAATATTTTCGACATGCTCCACGAAAGAAGAATATCTTCAGGTATATGAAATATTCAGAGATTAATGAGAAAAAAGCCAACAAATCTAAAAGAAAAATGAACTAAGCATATAAACAGGAACTTCCACACAAAATAAGTATCGCTGATCTATAAACTCACTGAAAAATGCTCAGTCTTAATTAACAATTAAGAAAACACAAATTCAAACAACAGCTTGTCATTATTACCGAAGTCCCAAAACTTTGACCACTGCCTGTCACGGATAAGAGAAAAAAAAACGAGCACTCTCGTGTATATTGTTGGGGTAGAAATTGGTGATAACCGCCACCTTTGCTGAGAGTTATCAATTTTATGTTGGCGTACCTTTCATCCAGAGATGCTGCTTCTAGAACTCGATCCTCCCAGATAGATCCTCCTCACAGTTTCTCTGTGCACGCAAGCAAAGATGACTTTACGAGGGCGCTCACTACAGCTTGTTTGTAAAAGGCAACAGACTGGTGAGGGGAAGTGCAGTGAACACCGACTGGGAAATCACACAGGTGTCAGAAGGCGTAAGCTACGGCCTCCCATGCCAGCACAGAGAGACGCTTACAAGCCGTACAGAAGAGAAAACAGAGGTATGTGACCATGTTCCTACTATACGTGGGGAACAAAACCCAGACAGGGTATGTATGTACCTGTGATTTTTTTTTTTTTTTTTTTAAATTTTTTTTTTTTTTTTTAATGTTTTATTTATTTCTAGGAGAGAGAGAGACAGCGTGAGCAGGGGAGGGTCAGAGAGAGAGGGAGTCACAGACTGAAACAGGCTCCAGGCTCTGAGCTGGCAGTCAGCACAGAGCCTGACGCGGGGCCCGAACCCACGAACCGCGAGATCATGACCTAAGCGAAAGTCGGACGCTTAACCGACTAAGCCACCCAGGCGCCCCATTTTTTTTTTAATGTTTATTTTTTAGAAAGACAGAGCGTGAGCCAGGGAGGGGCAGAAAGAGAGGGAGACAGAGAAACGGAAGCAGGCTCCAGGCTCCAAGCTGTCAGCACAGAGCCCCATACGGGACTTGAACTCACGAACTGCGAGATCATGACCTGAGCCTCAGCTACGTGAGCCACCCAGGTGCCCCTGTGCTTGTGATTTCTAATAGGATACACCAAAAAGTGTTAATGGCAGGTGTCTCTGAGACCTGAAATTACTTATCCTATATTACCTTTACTAGACACCATATATAACGAACTGCTTCTCAGGACTATAAAAAACAAAACAAAAAAGCCACTGTTAGCGTCACATGAGGAATATATGTATGATGTGAGTTCGCCTGCAATACACACACACAAAAATGTCAGCAGTGGGTATCTACAAGTGGTGGAATTATACTGGAAAGTCCCTTTATACTCTCCTGAATTTTTCACTTATTTCAATGAATATGTATTATTTTTATATAATCTGGAAAAACGTACTTAAAAACATAATCAAAACAAGAAGAGAAAAGAAATGGTTCATTATAAAATGAGCAAAGAATCTAAACAGGCACTCACAGTGGAGCCTTGGTGGCTCAGAAGGTTAAGCACACAACTTCGGCTCAGGTCACAATCTCACAGTTGGTTCATGAAGCTTCCTCAAGCCCCTCGTCAGACTCTGTGCTGACAGTTCGGAGCCTGCAGCCTGCTTTGGATTCTGTGTCTCCTCTCTCTCTGCCTCTCCCCAACTCACACTCTATCTCTCGCCCTCTTTCAAAAATAAACAAACAGGGAATCTGGGTGGCTCAGTCAGTAGGGCATCTGACTTCAGTTTGAGTGATGATTTCACAGTTCATGAATGCGAGCTCCACATCGGATTCTGTGCTGACAGCACAGAACCTAGAGTCTGTTCAGATTCTGTGTCTCCCTCTCTTTCTGCTATGCTCTGCTCATGCTCTCTCAAAAATGACAATTATTAAAAAAATTTTTTAAGAAACAAAAATTTATAAAAACATTAAAGGGGTGCCTAGGTGGCTCAGTCGCTTAAACATCCGACTTTGGCTCAGGTCATGATCTCGCTGTCCGTGGGTTCAAGCCCCACATTGGGCTCTGTGTTGCCAGTTCAGAGCGTGGAGCCTGCTTCGGATTCTGTGTCACCCTCTCTCTCTCCCCCTCCCCCACTTGTGCTCTGTGTCTCTCTGCCTCTCAAAAATAAATAAATGTAAAGAAATAAATAAAATTTAAAAACATTAAAAAATATAAATATGCACTCACAAATAAATACAAATAGCCAATAAACATATGAAAATATGGTCCATCTCACTAGCAATCAGGAAAATGCAAATGCAAAAGCGATCATGTTTTTACTAACACAGGCAAAAATTAAAAAGAGACGATTTCATATGTTGGTGGGGTCTAGATAAACAGACCCTCCCCTACACCACTCCTGAAAATGTCCAGTGTCACAGTACCTATCAAAACCTTAAGGGTCCATCCTTGACCATCAATTCCACTTCTAGGAATTCCATCTTGCAGAAGGACTGGGGAAGGGAGGTGCCAGCGGGGAGGAAATACACGGACTCCGACTTTTACGCCTCCATACTCTTACATTTCTTGAGCTTTTCTTCACCACTTTAATTATTTTACATTATCTACGGTTTTAATAACTGCAATAAATCAACATTTTATCTGTCATGCACCCATTTAGTGTGAATACATCTTTTACACATGTCCTCTGACGTTTATTTATTACAACAAGAACATGAAAAGGAGGAAAGTGGATGCCGAGTGGAAGCCTCCCCACGTGGCTCACAGGAGGAAGGGCTGAGCCAGCATCGCTCACGAATGTGTGAGGGAATCAGAGGATCTGAACACAGGTGTCAGCTGAGGACACAGGAGCACAGCTAAGGTCCCCAGGTCCCCACCCACTCCATCTGTCTCAGCCCCTCTCGCAGGCCCCCCACCGTGGAGAAGGGCCGACGTGGCTGCTGCTGCGTTAGCTCGTGCTCGTGGCAGGGCCAGGAAAGTGGCAGCGCACCGACCCTGCCACACCTATGTCGTGAGCCACGTACTTTGCTGAGAGCTGCGATGATGGGGAAGAACAGACACTGTCCGGGCCTCTGAGGGGGTCAGAATTCTAGCTGGGGACAGAAACGTGTCAATAAACAACTGTCAGGCAATGGAGGAAGTGAAAGGGCATATTCTCCATTAGAACATAAGCTCGGGCAGAGCTGGGGTAGCATCCTGCTCATCTCTGGGACCCCAGTGCCTGAAGGGCGTCCAGCAAACGGCAGGCTCAGAGCAAATGTTTGTCGCATGAAATGAACAAGAGGCGCACACAAATCTCTGGGAGCCGAGGGAGGAGTAGGCTTCGGAGGGGCTTGGAGAAGGTTCTACCACACAAGGTGTAATGTATAAGCTGAGCCTCCAAAACCAAGGAGTCAAACGAGGGAGGAGTAAACCGCTCCAGTCAGAGACCAGCATGGCCTCAAAATAGAGATGCACGAATGACCGCATTACTCGAGGAACGCAGAAAGATCTGCTGGGTCAGAATTCAGAACACACAGTGATATGTGGTCGGATGGTGAAGGCCAAATGACAGGATCCACTCGGCCAACCCTGCAGTCTCACCAACCTCCCCGTTTAGGAACTGAGACCATAGTCTTTATAAAGAAAAGAGCCACTGGCTTAAACTTTGAGATCCGAGCCTGTGGCTGGACCTCGTACTTTCCCTTCAGAAGCAGCTGCCATGTGGATAGTATTAGTTAGAGAATGAAAATGTAGATTTTAGGGGAAAAAAAATTCAACCCACACAAAGAGTAGAAAAAAAAATGGAGCTCGATAAAGCGAGTATGTTTTACAAGTGAAAGAAAGAACTGTTTCTTCTGCCATCAGGAAGACCAATGTGCTGTACTATAAAGAAAGAAAAGAAAATTTAAAAATCCCAGTGGGACAAAGACTCTCAACTGATCTACAATTTTTTTTTCTGGCTGAAATGTTTAGAGATATCAAAGTTTCCATTAACAAGCCACCTCCAACCCTTAAAGTCACCCTCCTGAGTCGGCCTGCGACTGAGTCAGGAGGGAGTTGGGAGGTCCAGAGGAGGGCAGAGAGCTCACCTGACAGTGTGGCCAGGGTTCGCTCAGCTGTTCCTCGGAGGGTCTCCCCAGGCCGCCACTCTGCCTGGGGAAGTATCCAAATTTCCTCGTCTCCAAGCTTCTCTTTGACCAACAGAACAAGGTTCCTGTCTAGCTTCCGGTATGGTGAGGTTCGGTCGTTCTTTTTATCGGCTTCTGTGGAGAAAAGGGGGGGTCAAAAAAGACAAGAAGACTGTGATCTGCCAGAACCAAGAAGAACAGAATTTTATGGTCTTCCTTGGAGGTAGACTGTGCCTCAAAACCACAACCTTTGTCCTCTTATAATCAAAGTACAACCCTGATGCATCGACTTCATACCTCTTGCAGGGCAGAGGCTCACAATCTTGAGAAAACTACAATGTAAGAAGAGAAAACCAAAAGCTGAACTTCTCCTTTGAAGAGCACAACACAAACTGCTTTGAGCCTTTGGAAAGGAAGCTACACCCAAACTACTTCAAACACTACAACTTCGCTGGGATTACTGACTTCACCAGGTCCCACTTTCTCTGTTCCTTAGTCTTCACATTAGGAAATGAAGATAAGAGAGTTCAATCCGCTGTTTTAGGAAGGATTTCAGATAAAACACACAAAACTAACTAACTAACGAGAAAAGCTTAATCTCCCTCCTACTCTCACTCCCAAAAGGGATTTTTACTCAGATGACATTCATGAAGTTTCACTGCGAGAGAAAAGGCTATCCCAACACCCTTACCTCCCACTCAAAAATTACAAAGGCCTTTAAAAATTATATAGGGTAGATAGGAGGAACAGGGAAACAAATTTATTCGTCTCCAACCGGAAAGAAGCTTTGCAATTACTTGTTACTTAAAACACAAAGTAAGGGCTAAGCAAACGTCCTGTCTGCAAACCAAAATACCACCACCCCCTTCCTTTGTCTCCTGCTGGCCTGAAAAGACCACAAACCTGTTATGCGAGCTCCAGGTTTGAACTGTAGGAATTTCTGCTCCCATACGTCTTCCAAATCCTGCACCAACAATACATTCTGGTCATCTTCTTCATCATACAAGTCAGCTTTCTTCTTTGCCAGTCTCTGGGCTTCAGCCAAAGCGCGAAGCTCATGGTCTGAGTACATACTTCTCTCTACCTCAATCTGGGAAAATTAAAAGGACAAAAAAAAAAACAAAAACAAAAAAAAAACAAAAACAGGCAGAATGGAAAACAGAGCTGTAGCACGTTTGACAGAAGATGAACTTTACCACTCATCATAACCAGACATACAATCAAAACATCACAGGAAAAAGAGAAAGAAAAAAACGTCACCTGCACTTTGAGCTTGAGCTACATTTGCTAAAATGTTAGAAGGCGATCGAAGATCAGGCTGCTTCAAAGAACAGAAAAGTAGGAAAGGCATTCCCTGCCCATGGTCCATGGTAAGCATGCTCTGAACCTGTCAGTCTTCGATCAGAATCTCACCATGGACTTTCCTACCTCATGGAGTTTGTACAGACACTGTTCTAACTAGAATGTTGTCCCTCATGTTCTTCTCCCAGGAAATCCCTACTTATCAATTTAAATACCATTTTCTTAAGGAGATATTCCTTGACACCTCCTTAAATGCTCTAACAGTAGCTCTATCTTCCTTTACAACACTTACCAAGCTCTGCAGTTATAGTCATGTGATTATTTGGTTACTGACTGGTCCACCTCCGCTAGACTGAATAGTCTGAGAACTAACAACATGTCTGTCTTATTCACCACTGCATGCCTAGCCCTTAGCACAGCGTCTGCACAAAGTAGGTGGGAATGGATTATCTATAAAGTGATTAATAAAGTGTTTGCAGAATAAATTAATAAACCAAGTAAAAAGCACAAAGTGACGTTTAGAACTCTCAGTAGCCAAGGCAAAAAACATCTCAGACTCTGGGGAAACAACCACCTTCTATCACTATCTATGGGGATTTAATCCCCTCAAGCCACTACGCTTAATATTTGCCCTTGTCTTCTTACTTGCCCCTCACACAGACAGACTTTATCGCACCATTTTAGCGATGTGCCCACTACCTTTTCCTAAACATCACAACACAGACTTCCTCCTCTCTAAATTATTGACGACCTAGGACAGAGGAGTCCGTCCTCTTCACCACCGCACACCTAGCGTGTGCAATGAAAAGGCAAACCATCTCCAAAGAGCTGCCTAACGTGACAATGAAGAACAATGAAAACAAACTATCTTTTATTGAACGCCTTCTATGTACCAAACCAACCCAGTAAAGTAGATACGAATCTGCAGGTAAATAACACGGAAGTTCTGAGACTTGCCCAAGGACACTCAGACTAACTGGTGCCGGGGTCGCGATGGAACCCAGGCTCACGTGTCTCTACTGGTTCCCCCAGCAGCTCCTAGAAGCCGTGAGCCGCACCTCAATCCTACCTGCTGCAGTAGAGCCGCCATCTCTTCCTGCAATGGGGTCAGCGGCTTCGAGACCAGCGGTGGCCGCTGCAGGCACAACGCGCCCAACAAGCGCCATGGAGACCCGCTGTTCAGGGGTGCGGCCGCAAGGGCCAGGCTGCGAGAGCCAAGGCTACCGGCCCAGTGCCCCTCGAACCGCCGCCAGCCCTTCGCCACCTCTAACACAGTCCGTCTTACGGGCGCCGCCATTTTTCTGCCTTCCCACAAGGCACCGCGGCTGCCTACGGGGTTCCAGGCCAATCCCACACTCCCAGAAGGCAGCGCGGGAGCGGCAAACCGGAAAGACCTCTGTCCCGGGACCTACTGGAACGAACCATTCCAACTTGGGGGGGGAGGCGGGCGCAGATATCATGTTAGATTAGCGAAAAGGAAGACAGTCCCAGTTGGAACTCTAAACGATAGTTATTGTGGAGTATTTAAATGGGAATAAAAGTCTTTAATGGACTTTATGAAGAGTAATGAGATGACTTTCCTCCTAAGCCCTCCCCCACAAGCGCTCCTGGTGTTGGCGCCGGTCCAGCTACGCCGGCTCCCGGGTCGCCGGGGACGGGAGCTGACAGGGGTCAATTCAAGTCATGCAGGTGGTACGAAAGACGGGGTCTTGGTTCTTGCGGTCTTGGGCTCGGTCACCGACTCCCGGGTAAGAATGATCAGCCCCCTCCGGGCCCACGGGTACCCCCGCGACTGCGCTGCTGCCCGTGTCCCCTCCCCCCCTGCCTCCCGGACTGCAGTAGCTGTTACGCCTGGACCTCACCGAGATTTCCTTCCCCGCAGGGTCGTGGCCGGGGCGCCAGCCTCCACCGTCCACACCGGCGCCCAGCAGCTACCAGACGCGGCGGCCAAGCAGGAGGTTGAAGAGAAGGAGGAAGCCCCGGCTCCGAGCCGCAGCAGCTTCAGGTGAGGGCCACTCAAGCCCAGCCCACCGACCAAAGTCAGAGAACCAGTCAATTCCCAACTCTGCCACTTGCCATCTTTGGGGCCTTATGCAAATTAATCTCTCAGCCTCAGCTTTCTCGTGTACGAAGGGAAAGGCTATGAGGGACGTGGGGATGCAACGAGATGCGCCTTGGCACCAGCGGATGCTCTGTTAACAGTCTGATGAATGAATGAGTGAATGTCGGAGGTGTATAGTAAATGTCACCGTGTTTCTCTCTGAGAGGGGTATTCTGGCCGACTAACAGTCTTCCCTGGGCTTGGATAAATAGGAAGGGGAGCTAGGGGGCACTAGGCTATGGTGGAGATTAGTGAGTTGGTGCAGGGTGGCTTTTGTGCTGAGCCCTAGGGACTGGCACCTTGCTTTCCAACAATGCCACCACCCCTATGTGCCATCACATCCATTTAACAAACCTACTTGGTGCCAGGCGTTGTGCTAGGTGCTGGGCACCCAAATACAAAAGATTGGGGGCGCCTGGGTGGCTCAGTCAGTTGGGCGTCCGACTTCGGCTCAAGTCACAGTCTCACGGTTCATGAGTTCGAGCCTCGCATCAGGCTCTGTGCTGACATCTCGCTCAGAGCCTGGAGCCTGCTTCAGATTCTGTGTCTCCCTCTCTCTCTGACCCTACCCTGCTCACGCTGTCTCTCTCTCTCTCTCTCAAAAATAAATAAAACATTAAAAACATTTTAAAAAACCAAAAAACAAATACAAAAGATTGTTCTTCCCACAAGTAGTGCCCAGTGTACTAGGGAAGACAGACGTGCAAGCATTTTCAGCATCATGTGGTCAGCAGTGTGGTGGAGGTAAGAACTGGTTGCGTGGAAGTATGACGAAACCGATGTCCCACTCCTGAGGAAGAGGACTGACAGGAAGATAATACAGAGCTAAAAACAGAATTGAACAGGAATTCAACTGGACGACATGAAAAGGATCATTTTAGGCAAAGCTAATATTCTGTGTAAAGGCATCGGTATGAAAGAACATGGTATATTCCAGGGGCGGGGTGTGTGTGTGTGTGTGTGTGTGTGTGTGTGTGTGTGTGTGTGTGATGGCAGATGAGGCCAGCCAGAGAAAGCATAAGAATGCTGAGGGTCTTCTCTGTAACAGTGGGGCTTTCACAGTGTTCCCACTGTAAGCAGTGGGGAGCTGCTTAAAGGAATTTAAGCCAGAATCCTGCTGGAGTCATTCAGCAACGTCAGGCATTATTTAAGGTGTTGGGACACATCAGTGACCAAACACCCCCAAAACTCTGCACCCATAGAACTTAAGTTCTAGCGAATAGGGGACAGTAAATAGAAAACACGTACAACATGAGGGTATGACACAAGGTGAGAGTGTGTCTGTTGTTCGGGAGGAAGATCAGGAAGACCAGTGTGGAGTGAGGAGTAAAATGGGTGAGCGGGTGAGTGGTGCAGCAGCATGTGGGGCTGCATCTGTGTGGCCGTGTAGGACTTCGTGAGGACTTCAGCCTTGACCCTGGGTGAGATGGGAAGCCACTGGAGAATTCTGAATAGAGGGTTGACATGATGTTGCTTCATTTCAAAGAGTCCCTTTGGCTGCTGTGTTGATACTGAACTGTGGGGAAGCAGGGATGGAAGCTGGGAGCAGTCTGGCAAGATCATTGGAAGATCACTGAAATAACCCAGCCAGGGAAGGAGGGTGGCTTGGACCAGGATGACAGCTCTTGAGGTGGAACACACAGAAAGTGAGGCCGGCAGCATGTATCCGTTGTGTAAGGTGTGACAAAAGGAGAAGAATGAACAACGCTGTAAAAGTTTTGGCCTCAACAGTGGGAAAGGTGGAATTGTCACGTAAGACAGAGAGACTGCAGGAGTTTGGCTTCCGGTGGTTATGTTTAAGGCACTTAGTTAACATCCAATGGAGATACAGTGTAGGCATTTAGAAATGGAATTCAGGGGACCGCTGGAGCTACACACGTTTGGGAAATTCACCATATAGATGGCATTTAAAACCACAAGACTGTACAAGGTCATCAAGAGTATAAGTGTAGGTAAAGAGAAGAGGTCCAAGGACTGAAGCCTGGAGCCCTCTAAAGTTTAGAAACTTAGGAGATGAGAAAGAATCAGCAAAAGAGACAAAGAAGGAAATTCCAGAGAGGTAGTAAGAAAACCTAGAGAGATTTCTTTTTTTTTAATGTAGTTCAAGGGCAGAGAGATCAGCTATGTCAGGTGTTGTTGATAGAGTAAGTCACTGTGTTGATGGCAGAACTCATTGGATTTAACACTGTGGGTTGGTGACCTTGCCTAGAGCATTTTTGGTGGAATCATAGGGCTAACGTCTGGTTGGAGTGGGTTCAAGGAGAGCAGGAGACAGACAGAAACGGCAAGTAAAGTCAGGTCTTTAAGAGGGAATAGAGAGATGGGCAGTAGCTCTGGGAGGCTTTGGGATCAAGAGGTTCTTGTCTGTTTTCAGGTTGGAGAAATGACCGTATGCTTTGCGGATGGGAAGGATGTGGGGGTGGAAATGTGCTGGAGTGGTGTCCTTGAGAGGCAAACACAAGCAGAGCATCCAAAGAGGAGAGAGGGCAAAGGCTGTGGGCACAGATGTTCAGTAGTGGAAGCCGGCATAAATTCTGATTGCCTGTATTTCCCTGTGAAGGTCATCAGCTGGCTGTAAGGCAACAGAAAGAAGGTGGGGGTTGAAAGAGACAAAGGAAGGTATAAAGCAGTCCTCCAGGAGAGTGGAAGAAGAGTAATTGAACTGGGGACATGCCTACAGTGCCAGTCGCCAGTCAGTGCTGAGGGCCCACTTGATGTCAGAAGTCATTAAAATAAAGCAGCGGCTCTCAGCTGGGGCGATTTGGCCTCCACGGGGACTTTTAGTATCTGAAGACTTATTCGTTGTCACAACTCAGGACACTGGAGGGACAGCTAGTGGGTAGAGGCCACGGATACTGCGGACACTCGTCAGCGTGCAGGCCAGCCTCTCACAACAAAGAATTGTCTTGCCCACAGTGTCACAAGTGCTGACGTGGAGAAGCCACGGCACGTGGAGAGGCCCGTCGACACGGGGGTGTGTGCTTCTCTAGCCAGCTGTGCAGATGCGCACCCAGGCTGCAGAGAAGGGGCAGCGGGGGCTAGGGTTTGCCAGAAGGGTGCGATGACGAGGCAGAGGATCGAGGGGAGTGATTATAATGATTGGTCAGTGGTGGAATTTACTGGAAGCCAGGAGAGAAGTGAAGGCGTGGGGGGTGGGGGGAAGCATACCAGTGGGGATAGGACAGAGGACACGGATGGGGCCACTGGAGGAAAGGAGGTCACCAAACAGAAGCCAAGGGGTTGGAAGGATCTTACGGAAGCCGTGTATATAATAATGACAGGAGTGGTGAGCCAGGAGCTATTCTCTGCATTTTTCTACATTTATTTGCATTTAAAAAAAAAAAACTCCTCTCCAGCCACAATGAGGAAGCGGTTGAAGAGCGGGAGGCCAGGCCTTCTTTATGTGGGAGCAGAACTGCAGATTCCCGGGCCCAGGTCCCACACTGTCAGGGTCAGTTTGGGTTGGCGGCACGCAGGGCCCAGCGCACTCCCACGCCTCAGGTGCCTGTAGCGGAAGTCAGCCCTTCGGCAGAGCAAGCGGCGGCTGTTTTCGGTCCTTGGCCCTCCCAAAGAGACACCATGTGTGCTGGCCACTCTCCCTGTCCCTCGTATGAGGACGGGTGTGAAGAGGCTGCAGGCCAGGGCCCGAAGGCTTTGTCTTTCCTTTGTCCGGGCCTCCCTGCGGTGAACCACTCATGCATTCGTACAGTGGACCTGGCTCGCGTAGAGGTCCGATCTTGTCCATGCCTTCAATTAAGTGGTTCATGTTCCAAATCCTCCCTACTGTATATAAAGGGCAGCGCACTGGTACGTTCCATCTTGGGTAGCCGTAAGTTTTTGGACCCCCAAGTCAGTAGGGGAAATGATCAGTGTTTTAAACATTGACGTCATCTCAGAGCCTCATGACTATCCGTCTTGGCTTGTAGGTTAAAAAGCCCGTGACCTGCTGAAGGCTGAATCACCCCCACAATCAGGCCTAGCGAGAAGGGGCACACTTGTAACTCTTGAATACCATTGTGTTATTTTCTGTTTTGTTTTTTAAAACTATCTCTAGGAAAGCAGGTAGGGCTTGGCGGCAGGATTGTGCTCCTATAATAGTATTTTCTAACCCAGCAGCCACTGAATCTCAGGAGGCTGTGGGAGGTACAAACAGGGTCTGATTCCTGCGTGTAAGCAGGAGGCAACAACAGGCTTACCCGCGTCTGAATGTTGAATGACAACTGTGT